GCCAGCGGGGGCCAGGGTCTGCTGTCGGGTCGGGGGTTGGTGGCGGGGACAGCGGCGCCGTGTGTGACGGCTCCTGCTCTCTCTCGCCCTTCCTGCAGAGCGGCTGAACATCCAGATTGTCTCCACGCAGAGCCGCACGGGCCTCCTCACGGCCCAGGAGGCCCAACGCGTCCGGCAGCTGCACGCGGAGAACCGGCAGTTCCTGCGCATCCCTCGCAGGCGAGTTGTGCCCCCACACGGGCCGGGAGCAGCTGAGCCCTGCTGAGCCCAGCCCTTGGCCAGCTGCAAGCCAGGGCGCAGCCCTCGCTCCCCCAAACAGGGCTTGTCAAGGGTTTATGTGAGCCTGCTGTAAGTTGCAGCCACGGAAGTTGCTGCCAGCCCTGGAAGCGCAGAATTCCTGCTTGCAGCCTGGTGCTCTCTGTCCCCGGCTCGCCTGCTCTGGCAGGTCTTTCTGCAGCTCTGTGCTTGGTGCGCAGAGAGGTGAATTCCCTGTCTTGGACATCCTGTAGATGTCGGATGGGAAAGGGCTTTGTGAGCCCTGTTGTGTATGGAGTAGTGCCGCATCTCTTTAGATTGCGGAGTTCAGAGAGAGTGAGGTACTTGGAGCTGCTGCAAATGGGCGCGTGTGGCTGCAGCCGTCTCCGTGCAGCTGAAATGTGCATTGCACGTGCCCTTCCTGCGAGTCGCTGCAGTAACACTGCTGGTATCACTGCACTAGAGCCTCTGCCTGCTTACCCTAAAACACAATCCTTACAGGCCGTACTGGGATAGGACAACCAGCGCGGAGGACCTGAAGCAAGCCGAGAGGGAGAGCTTTCTGGAATGGAGGCGACAGCTCGCCCAGTGAGTATCCTGCGTGTGCCTGTGCTAAGAAGCCAGTGGGATGTGGAGATGAAAGGAGCAGGCAGTCGTTTTTTTTCCTTTCTGGGCCTGTAAGGATAATTTTGTCAGCTGCTCCCTGTAGTTCACTTGAACATCTGGGCATCCCAGCCACATTGTTTTGCTGTGTGTACATGTTCCTGCAGTGCAAGGTTGTGTCTGCCAAGCTGGCTCTGGTAACAGTGGGTCCGAGCTTTTTTCAGAGCTCTTTCAAGTAGTGTTTTCCAAATGGTTTGTTTCTACCGAGTTGTTCCCGACTGAGTAATAACTGCTGGCCTTTGGGATATCTCCTCTGATCTGGTCGCTAGCATGTCCCTGAAACACCAGAAGTTGCCCGTTGAAGAGCTTTCCCCTTTCCATCGTTTGTCACTTCTCCACTAGTATGGTCAGGAGCATCGGCACCGTTTTACGTAGACGCGTGGTTTGTTTATAAAACCATCAGAAATAGAACAGTAGAGTCTGATTTTTTTGACAGCTTCCTTGGAAGGTCTTCTGGATCTAAGAAAGTGTTGCTGTCACTTGCTGATGTGGCCTCAATATGGTATCTTTTCTCTTTTTTTCTATAGCCTGGAGGAAGAAAAAAATTTGATTCTAACCCCATTTGAACGAAACTTAGAATTTTGGCGTCAACTTTGGAGAGTCATTGAAAGAAGGTAATAAATATCACACTTTGTTTTTGAAAGGTATTGTTTAATATTTGTTTCCTGAATTGAAGCAAAGCTTTGGAATCAAGCATTAAGCATCCAAGCACAGGAAAAATAAAATAGCACAAGTAGTAATGTTTCACTATCAGCTCTGAAGCGTTTCTGTTCTGAAACGGTCAAAATATGTTGTTGGAAAGAGCAGCAAGTAGCAGTGCAGTTCAGGCTCTCAACCTTGCAGCTCTGCTCGTAGGTCACTGTGTGTGTGAATCTGTCGACTCTGCTGCAGCTGCAGCTCTGGCCTCTTCCAGCACCTCCGTGTGGGAGCTGCCTTCGAAAATATCGTTTGCCAATATTAGTACTTGTCCCTCTCTCAGCCCCACAGCTTTACCATGACGTCTTGGGGCAGGAGACAAGGGAGAACTGAGTAACGTTTGGAAAGAAAGAGCCTCTTGGTTGTTGGCTGCTTGCCATGCAAAGAGATTGCAGCAGTGTACAGAAGACAACAGCCTGTCACAGCACAGAAATAGCCTTGTTTGCTCCACAGAGCTCCAGTACAATAGGAGTGCTATCTGCTCCTTTAATTTGACTGAGGCATTTCATTTCACTAATAATTAAATTTGAGATCATCTCTTCTAATATTCTTAAAATTGAAAAATACTTCACCAGTGAGGTCATGATGAGCTGATCCTTTCACAGATGTGTCTTTGTATGGTCTCACTGGGGTTTTGGCTGGGTGACAGCTGGGTAAGGAGCATCCCCTACTGTCTATCATGATATGGAGGGTATCATACGACTGGGACATGTTAGGAATGTGTTACTACTTGTATTGCAACTCTTTATTTGTGGTAAGGTGAGGGTGCAATCTCAGAACAGAATGGGAAGTCATTCAGTCTCTTACCTTGCTAGATAGATTTGATCAATTATCAGCTTTTCCTTGTGTCTGCTCTAGGCTAGTTCCCAACACTGTGCCTCCCAGTACCATGGTGTCAGTCTTCTCTCATATTGATCTTCTAATTTCTGTAGCCGTTTAGCACCTCTTTGAACCCTTGTGGCCTATTAAATGATTCCCTCGAGGGATTTATAGATATTTGTGTGCAGCTATCTGCCTACTGAGGCTTAAAATTCTTACAGTCCACCCATATTGTTATGAAGCTGTTCTGAGTCAACAGAAATCCCTGCCAAACAAATAGACCAGCTTGTAACAACCAGTATATGTTATCTCCTTTGAGAGGTTCTAATGTAAGAATGCTATTTTTTTTTAATCCTCCCTTTCTGAAAAGGAAAAGGGCTCCGTGGATGCCACTGGTGCTTGAAGCTGATGCATTTATTTTGCCTGTGGAGGGGATGAGTCTTGCTCGTATATATGCTGATAAAACTGGTGCCCGGATTTGGAAAGATGGCTCCTTAAAGCACTCTTGCAAGGACTTGCTTGCATGGGGAAACAATTGATCTATTGAAGTATGAGACTATTCTTTTGCTGTTTGATATTTTTAATGACAAGAGGAGCACAAATAAAATTTTAAAGATTCCAGTCAAGAAAAGCTTAGTATCTATAGGTCATTTGCAGGGGATAATTTTCTATGTCTGCCTCTGTGTGAGGGGGAGAATGGTGTTCTGAATGCCTTGGAGAAAAACCCTCTCCTCTTCCTTTCCCAAACCACTGAGTTGCAGTTGGGTATGCAAAGGGATTGAGATGAAATTGCACTATTACAGCTTTCACACTAAGTGCTCTGGTTCTGCTACCTGCAGGATATCTCTAATGGTAGGTTGACTGGTGAGACTTGTGCATTTGCTTTCCTTCTCCCTGCCTTACAGGAGAATTAGCCAAGTGAGACGAGCTGAAATATTTTACAGATATACAGGCTTGTGGGGTAAGCGTGGCTCTGTTGGGGCACTGAGAGGCTTTGTTAATTCAATAAAGATACTTAGCATGGTAATGCAGTTGTCAGTTAACTGTTAAAACAGTTAAACAATTAAAATTTATGACAAACCTAAAAGCAAATAATATGCAATGCCTTTTTGCAGTCTTTGTGACTATGTAAGAAAGGGTACTTGACGAGGCTTTCTTTTATTTTTCCAGTGATATTGTAGTGCAGATAGTAGATGCTAGAAACCCTCTCCTGTTTAGATGCCAAGATCTGGTAAGGAAACCACCTTCTTCAATGTTGCCTTCATTTTATTTCTGGTAGTTCATGTGCCTAATTGTTTTTGTAAACACACGGCCACCTAATACTTTGAAGCTCTCCTGATGTTTTGCCAAACCGGATGCCTTATTTATACAAGTGTTCCAGCATCATCAAATTATTTTTCTTTAAAGCTTTTTGATAACTGATGCAAAATATATTGTTTTTGAGGCAGTTTTGCAGATAAGCTGACTTTGTCTTCTTTCCTATTACTGAGGAAACTTTAATTATAGCAGATACCAATCTTTTATTTCATCTTATGTTGCTCCTCATTACCTGCTTGAAGCATCCACACTTAGAGACATTAAGTTCTGTTCTGTTTAACAACATAATTGAATAAAAATAGATAACAGTTACTGGTCTGAAGGAGAAACATCAAGAGCTATTGAAATGGCGACCTAGACTATAAAACACCACACTGCTGAACATAAGTTTACTTAAATAGTTAAACTGAGGACCTTGTGCTGTGAGGTCCTGGTTACTACCTCGACACGATGGAAGCAGACAAGGTGTTTGTGCACATGCCAGCCGTGACCTGTATTAGGTAGCTGCATGCTCCAACCTGTGCCGGCAGCTCCCTGCTGAACACCTGCTCTTTGCAGCCCTACAAGCAGTGAGCTTAGCTGCGTTCCTGTGGAGCTGGATGGGGTAACTTGCCTTGCTGCTTTAATACCATGTTATGAGGGGGAGCCCAAGTCGGAGTACTAACTAATCCTTTTTTTTTCTTTTTTCTTCAGGAAAATTATGTTAAGGAGGTCAGTAGCGACAAGGAGAACATGATCCTGATAAACAAAGCAGATTTGCTGAGCGAAGAGCAGCGGGCTGCTTGGGCACATTTCTTTGAGAAGGAAGGTGTTAAGGTGGTGTTCTGGTCAGCCTTGGCAGAGTGCAGCCGGCTGGCAGGAGAAGCTAAGGTACCTTAGAGAACATGGATTGACAGCCTCTGGTAACTTGATTTGCAGTTATGCTCATGGTATGACTGAGTTCATTTCTAGGAAGGTCACAGCCCTTTTCTTAGAGAAGGATTACTCTAGGGACCTATGCAGCTGTAAAACAGCATTGTGTTAGATTCAAAGGCAAAAGTTAGGAGGGTAAAATGGTAAACAAAGGGTTATGCCCTTCAGTCACTATTCCTAGTGCTCGTGATTTTGTTTTCAAGACTAAGTAAATGATAAATTACATTGAACTAGAGTGTGACCTTGGGGCTAATGCTGAATAGCTGCGCAAACAGCCCTTTCAGATCTGTTGGCAAATTCTGCATCTTGTTTAATGATTTGGAATCCTTTCTAAGGGGCGTGCTCTAGGGAACATCCCTGGGGTGGAGGGGATGTTTCTTAAGAATTTTTCATAGTTACTTTAGGTTCTGTCTTTGCCTAGTGGAACAAACTGTGCTATTGCTGCTTCAAGTTCCATGTAAATAATAAATGCCACCTTTAGGTTTTACTGGTTTATTTTGGTTATGGAATATCCCATATCACTTTCCAGACATACCTGGTCTGTACAGCTGGCTCACAATTCTCACATAAAATGCTTGTACAGATTGATTTTTTTTTTTAAGCAAGACCGAAAGGGATGATTTTGTTGTTTTTTAGGAGTAAAAGAAAAGTCAAAAAAAAAAGTCTTGAAGAGGTCTTTTTAAGCGTAAACTATTTGCAGGGAAAAAAAATGTGAAGGGTTGGTCTGAAAAATGAGACAGCTTGAAAAAATGCTAATGACATATTTTGACTTGAAACAAAAATATATATATTTTTAATTTTTCTTCCATTCCTATTACTGAGCACACTTGTTAATTTTCAGGAAAAAAATATTTTGTAGCCTCTGCTGCTGTCACCATTTATAATGTTGTTCTGTGTTCACAGTTGTGCTTCTGGAGAAAGAGACTTTCACCATGAAGCTAATGCTAATAATTGAAGCTAGTCTTGTGTTTAAATTTCACCTGTGAAATACTGTTCACACAGGAACTAGACTCTGAAGATGTAGCAGAGGACACAGGTGATTCTGAGGATGAAAGCTCCAGTGGAGAAGATGACGACAGACAAGATGGTGCAGAAAGCACATGCACAAATGGTGCTTTCCAAGCTGATAATGGAGTGCTGGTCAGTGATGATGACAGTAGTGATGAATATGAAGACTGTGAAGATGATGAAGAGGATGCCTGGCAAACCTGTTCTGAAGATGAAGGTGGGGGCAAAGTAAATACTACTGCCCCCAAAGCTATGGGAGACAGTACTGCTGGTGCTGCAGTGCAGTGTGTAGTGCAGGAACAGAACAGGAATATCAGGAACTTCAGTCATCTAGTACAAAGAGATGAACTGCTGGAGATATTCAAAACTATGCACAATGGACCAAGGGTGAAGACGGGAGAAGTAAATGTTGGGCTGGTGAGTTGAAGCTTGTACTTGAAATGGGACTTGCTTTATATGAGTTTTCATTCCATTTGCCTTCCATTTGAAATATTCACCCTATAGTGCCTTTTTTTTCTTTTTTTTGAGGATATAAAACTAACAAGTAGAAATCACTGAGGATTTTTTGCATAAATTAATTTTACAGGTTGTTGGAACTCAATGTTCCAGCACTCCTTGACTTAATTGTTAGTATTTTAATAAAATACCTGGGTGTCAGAGCTCTACAGGTCTTCTGGCATAACCTTGTCTAATATTGGTATTGTTCTACTTTGTCATATAGGTGGGTTACCCAAATGTTGGGAAAAGTTCAACTATCAACACAATCCTTGGAAATAAGAAGGTGTCAGTGTCTGCTACGCCAGGCCGTACGAAGCACTTCCAGGTATTGCTAACAGAGAAGGTTGATTTCCCAGCTTCTTCCCCTCTGTTTCTCAGAGAAGTCGTGAGATAGTTGCTACCATGTGGACTTGCTGAGAACTCTGCCAACCTGAACTCTGCATTCAGAGCTGGGTAGTAGGAGGGAACTTGGTGTATATCATTTGAAACTTGAATTCTTGCTTTCAAGCTGTTGCTGTAGTTTGAAAATGACTCATGAGAGGTGCTTTGCAATGGCAAATATTTTCCATGTCTTGTTTTTAGTGAAGTAATTTGGGCCTCCTTTTCACCACTCTTGAGGCGAGAACCTCTGAAAACTGCTCCTCTGAATAGCTGAAAGTCAAACTTTGAAGCTGTCCTGCTCCTTGTGCACAGTTGGTGGCCTGAACAAGTTCAGGGTTATTGTTGCTGCTGTTGTCCTGCTGATCACACTGTTAATTTTGGGGTGGCGAGGCCAGCGCTGTTATGAGCAGCATTTTCACTTGTGTAGCCTCCCACTCTTTTGAAAAGGTCAAATGCAATTAAAGATTTCTGGAGTGTTGATTCTTCTGATAGGTAGTGGCCCCTCAGGCTAAACAGCTGAAGCTCTTGCTGCCCCATCAGACACTTTATTCATGAACCTCGGAAGTTCTGCTGTCTTTCACATAAAACTTCCTTAATTCGCTGGCTTGGGCAAGGTCTGTTGGTAAAGTTTCTACTTATTCTTATCTGCAGCTATGTTTCATCTGCACATCTAATTTATTTTATTTTGTTTGTTTGTTCCTCTTCCCTGCATGGACGCTGACTTGCTGTGGTGACCTCAATGGTTATTGCTGTGTAGACCCTGTATGTGGAGCCTGGCCTGTGCCTCTGTGATTGCCCTGGTTTGGTGATGCCCTCCTTCATCTCTACCAAGGCAGAGATGATTTGTTCTGGAATTCTGCCTATAGACCAGATGAGGGACCATGTCCCACCCGTTTCTCTAATATCCTTTGCATGGGATTTTTAAAGGTGTCTGAAGGTGTTGGGTATGGAATATAGCATGGTGTATGTTCCAGTTCTGATGAGCCATGTGTGCTAACATCTTGAAGGCTGTGGGGATGCACACTGGTTAAAACAGGCCTGCTCTGTTGGTCTTGCACCTCCTCTTTTGAGTTTATCCCATTGCTAGATTTGCATCTTTTCTGTTTGGTGAAAAAATCAAAAGTTACTCTTAACACATGTTCTTCAAGTTACTAAGGGAAGATTTCTTGTGCAGCACAAAATCATCTTGGTTGGCTTCCTTCACTAGCTTACGTTTGCCAGCATATCCCACGAAACATTTTGGAAGCAACCTATGGAATAAATATCATAAGACCCAGGGAAGATGAGGATCCAGATCGAAAGCCAACCGCTGAAGAACTGCTAACAGCATATGGATGTGAGTGCTGACCCCTTTAAAACCTATTCCTATGGGTTGCTTCTGAGCACAGAACTCTATGCTAAGTCTGACTCAAGTTGGTCATGTATTGAACTTCTCTGTTAGGACTTAAAGGCCAGTTATCGAGGGAAGGGTATTAACAGCTGAGTTCGTGGTGTGTGTTATAGTGGTGCTTTTCTGGTTTCATCTGACAGATGTGATTGTGATCAGAGGTTAGTGAAAACGCCTGCCTGCCTGTAGTGTGATGCATTCTTGAAGCTACCAGTGGTTTTGTGGCACTTGCATCCTTCTAGATACCTCCTGTTAACCATGCCTAGAATTAGACTTGGAAGAATGCAGGGAAGGTTTATGATCTTTGTCTCATGCCCCTTTCAACTTTGAAATTTTATTCTGTAATGCATTTAATCTTCTTTGGTCTTAAAAGCTAAGATTAATAAAAGCCAACAGGTTTTGAAGAGTAGGGAGATTTAGATGGGCTAAGACGCTTCTACAGTCTGCTCAGAGTTAGCAGAGTTTGATTTTCTTCTATGCTTCCACCCGCTGCAAGCCTCTTTCTGAAGGAGGTTTTGTGAGATGGTAGAGAAAATGTATAAGTTGTATATAGTATTTGTATACTGTATTTAGGTAGTCAGGAAGTATGTGTTCACTCCTTTGCTGTACTGACACAGAATGTATTTCTGGATTTGTCTTCCAGGTATGAGAGGCTTTATGACAGCTCATGGACAGCCAGACCAACCAAGATCTGCTCGATATGTATTAAAAGATTATGTCAGTGTAAGTTCTTTCTACTTTGAGGTTTCCTTTCCCTGACAGGAGGTAAATTAAAGGTTTTTCTGGTGCATGGAGGAGGAAAATACTATATTTTTAAAGTTTAAAACAACAAATGGGATGTCTGATGCCAATTAAAAAAACGCGTGAATTGTGCTAAAAGTACCAGCTAAATAAATTATTTTATCTCTAAAAAAGGCAGCAAATGTCTCAAAGTTAATCCATATTTACTAGCTGGATCAGTATTTGGTTGAGGACCGCAGTTCTATCCTGAGTGCTGTAATCCTGCATTCTTCTGCAGCACCTTCCAGCAACTTTCTGTTATTTTCTGGCACTCCTGAGAGTTTTGTAGTGTACTTGTTACACTTTATCCAGTTGCAAAACAGTGCTTTTGAGCAAAATAGTGCTTTAATTTAGAAGTGGTGACCTGGATGGGAACAGAACGCAGGTGTGCTGACGGTTGTTCTGATGTGAGCCTCTGGACTTTGGGGCCTTTTTTAGCTTTGGAATTGATCTTTCCTCTCTGGGTATTTCTCTGACCTTTTTTTTGTGTGTGTGTGTGTGTGTGTGTGTGTATGTTGATGATAACTGTATCCTATTGCTTTCATAGGGGAAGCTGTTATATTGCCATCCACCTCCTGGTGTTGATCCAAATGATTTTCAGCACCAGTATGAAAGATGTCCACACAGATGTTCAGAGAGCATAAATGTGCAGGCCAGCATAAAGATGAAGCCTGAGAAGAATACCAAAGTGAAACAGATTGAAAATGTGGTGGATAAAACTTTTTTCCATCAGGTAAATTACGGAGGAATTTCTTTTGGGGTTTTACAGCAGTATGGGCTTGTCACTGGGAAAAATAATTTTGGGGAAGGGATGCTATATTGAGGTAAAAATGTTAGGTAAAAAATGTGCAGATTCCACAGTATTTAAGAGCTCTGTTTTTTTGTTCTTTTTTGTTATCTCCTAAATCACTGGGGGAGTCCTAGGCGACTGACAGACTAGCTAAGGAGGTGCATAGAGTTGACCTTAGAAGGTCAGCAGGGTGACGTTTGTCATTATGAGCCTAACATCGACCTTGGACAAAACGGAAGCATGACTGGGAAGGGAGAAAAGCAAAGCAGGGCGTGTGATACAGCAACCAACAAGGAATGGTTGGTCTCGTTGTCCATGAGCCCGGGCAGTGGGCTGTTCCCCAAAACTATGACCTGAAAAGAATTTTGGGGATTGCTAGACTTCCTCTGGGTGCACAGAACACCAGCATGGCTGGCTGTGAGCCCCCTCAGTGCCTCGCACACTCCAGACTTGAGCAGGTTATTTTAGTCCCTGGTTTTCACAGACACCAGATTTGTGACAGACAATTTGTGGTGTGCAGAGCAGAGGCTCTGAGGCTCAGTTGTGGAGCTGTAGCTAATGTCTGCAGAAAGTCAGTGTCTTGTAAACCTTCCGTGTCTGCTTGCAGTAGCAGTGGGCACTGAGGATGTGGTGCAGTGGAGCATGGCTGCAGGCAGGGCTGGGGAGACTTTGACTTGAGTGCACAGCATGACCTTTCCTACACCTCTGGAGCTGGGATCTGGACAGACCTTGTAGGGTTTGAGCTTGCCTGTGTCTGATTTTATTAGTTCCTTATGTTTAAATGTCTTTTCACTAGTTGCCAATGACTGTTTCTACTTCCAGGAGAACGTTCGTGCTCTGATGAAAGGTGTACGGGCTACAGTGGGATACCGGCCTGGCAGTGGCCTTGTGTCTGTGACTGCACCCAGTGCTGGGAATGTTGTAGGAAAACCCTGGAAAAAACATGGAAACAGGAACAAGAAAGAGAAGGTTCGCAGGATCACTAAGCACCTGGAGGCCTAGCTGTGGTCCTGTTTGCTGGTCTTCCCAGGTCAGGGACTGCACTGTCTGGCAGGCATGAGTTGAGGAGGAAGAAGAGAGTATCACTAGTTCACCTGAACTCTGTGCTGTGGACTGCCCCAGGGAGGGGATGAGAACCCGCTCTGATACTTGGAGCTCATCATACTTGAGAGGAAAAGAGACCTGGCTGTTTGGGTCTTCTGGAGATCAGCCAGCCCAGGCAGTTGGCTGTTGCTGAAAAGCCCTTTCAATGGGAGAAGATAAAGGTGCCATGTCAGAATGGTTTTTCTTCTATAAAGGATGTGTTTTATAGCTGCTGGGATCAAATAAAGCCCTGTAAAACTGATTAAAATGTTTAAATAGTTGAATCTAAACAAATGATATTTGTTACAATTCGAGACACTATCACTGCTAGTCTTTTCTAAAAAAAGAAATTGTTGGTTTGACAGAACACTTTAATATGTTGAAAAATAAGTAAAAGGATCTTTATTGCTCTCTTTCCTGTCCGCTCTACCAATCCTACTTTGAAATCCTGTACTGAAACCAACCCCTGTGTGATCTGTCAGCCAAAGCCAGAGCAGAGCACTGTGAACTATGATGTGATTATGTCAGTGCAAAGGAAAATGCTGCTTTTATGTCCTTCACGTTGAGCTAGTATCACTTGTTTTTCTGTGTGACTTCTTGTTGGTGTTTTAAAGCGCTAGCCGTGTGTGACTGGCAGAATCTGGTGCTAATTTATCCTAAAAACATATCTGAGTTTCTGTATGCACTTGTGCCTCTCTGAACTGTTATACAGTGATCCAGTAGCAAAAGTGTCACAATGCCACGTTTTTACATGTGCATCACTATTTGACTAAAAAGACTGTACTGATTTGAGAGATGCACAATCTTCAGAGATGTAAGTTCGATTTATTCCTTGGTTGTCATGCTGAGGAAATGTTTGTGTACTTGGTCAGTGCTGTTCACCCCTAGCCCAGCAGAGGCAGTCATGATAGTGCTGCTAAAGCTTGCAGAGCTGTCACTCGTCTCTGATACAAAGCAGCATTTGCTTTTGTTTATTTGTACTTTTGTATTTTCCAGGCCTTAAGCATGGATGGATAGACCAAGGCAGCTACTAAGCAGAGCCACAGCAGACTCGGGGCGTGTGGACAGGCTGGTTTTTGGATTGTGACCCTTTGTCTACTTGGCCAGTACAACCAGTTTCAGTGCACTGCATACGCGAAGGGTCCTCTGACAGCAGAGCTCTCACCTTGGCTCCGCTGTCCCCTTGAATCCTTCCTCTGAAGTTATTACTCAAGTTATTTTGATACTTCTTTTATATTTCCTTCCCTTTAAAGCATTTTCACTTCTTAATTCATGTTGCACATACCTGAGTTTTCTTCTTTGACATTCCAAACCTGTTCATCCCAGCTGGATAGAGTTAGATCTCCATGAGCTTCTTGATGGACTGGCCGTGTCCTGGTGTGGTTCCCTCTCAAGTCCCACAAATAACTGAAGTCCCCAGGACCTGGTGCTGTGGATGATTCTGCTGCTTGCTTAGAAACCTTTGGCTCCAAGACCTGCCAAGCCACTTGTGTTTGTGTGTGTGAATGGAGGATGGTGTAAATATCACTGAGCAAAGGGTGTTTGCTCAGCTGTGTTTCATTTGAATTACTACTGTGCTAGAAGTCGCTTCCCTCAATGAAGGAGGGCCCTGAAGAAGAGCTCTGGAGCCAAAGGCTTGTTGCTATTTCGTGCTGCTATTGAGCAGCAGGCAGACTAGGTAAGTACACGAGGGATATGGCTAAATTGATGCTTTCCTGTGGGATTTTGGTCCACATCTGAACCACATCTGCCCTTGCTGGGGAATGCTGGGCTGGCCACGGTGGCTGCTCAGTGCAGCTTCTAGGAGCAGCTGCCAAGCGAGGGCCACGCAGAGACTGCGCTATTGTGAGTGCTGCCCACAAAGGCCGAGCTGTGCCCGGGCAGCCACCTGCCCCACGAGCCTCTGCTGCTGCTCCGGCTGCCTCGGCACGAGTCGAGATTCCCGAGTGCTGCTCGCTTGGGAGCGCCTGGCGCATGCCCAGGAATGCGCTGGCTGTGCCCAGCTCCCGGCTGCTCCCTGGGGCGTGCGGCACTTCCCGCGCTCTAAGGGTCTGTCTCTCCCTTCTAGGGGCTTTACTTTAAGGACAAGTGTTTATTTTTCTGGCTAACATAGTCACACATTGTACTGATAACTGCTGACAGAGTTGGGAGCCAGTTTTGGAAATTTAGGAATTTCATCAATATGTTTTCAGCAGAAAACTAAATTGTTTGAAATTTTTACTTCCTGCAGGAGATTTCACAATAGCACCTGGCTTCCTTCAAAGCAGAATTTAAATCCACTCTCTCTCTCTTAGGCTGTGATTACATTCTTTTAATTTTTTATTATTTGCAGCTGATTGGGCACAGAGGTGGCTCAGACAGACCTGTAAAAGCAGAACCAAGGGATAAATGGGCCCGGTCCTCCCTGGGGAGGAGCATTCTGGCATCTGGCTGGGCAATGCCAATGCCATCTTGCAGTGTGTTGCTAGGTGCACTTGTGTAAGTAAGGAACGGCGCAGGAATGGGTGATAACCAGCCACGTTTCTTTGCTCGAAGCACGGTGCTGTGCCCGCACGTGGACGTGGTTGTTGTCCTTGCTGTGTTTTGCCACGTGCGCCGCAGCCCGGTGCTTTGCTGTTGCCCCAGAAATAAGCGTCCCAGCTCCCTTATCCCACTCTTGCTATGGCAGAACCTCAGGGCACTTTGCTGATCCTGCCTTGCCACCCAGGCCCTGCCAGGATGAAGCCCAAGGACTCTGTGTGAGCTGCCTGGTACGAAGTTGTACAAAGTCAGGGTCGGACAACGCGAACTTTCGCTGTGTGCCAGGCAGCATTTCCGTGTTCCCCTCCAAGCTCTGGTTCCACCAGGGAGAGAGGTGGCAGCCAAGGGAGGGCGCAGTGACAGTGTGGGGAAGAGCCAGGCCGCCTGGTGGCCCTGGCGGGGTCCTTGCCTTGCTCTCCACCTCCCAGGGCAGCACTGGGGCCTGTGATCTCTTCCCTAACGTTCCAAAACGAGGGTTCATGAGATGAGAAATTTGGGGCTGGGCCTCCCGCAGCAAAGGGGTCTCAGCTGGCTTGCAGTCCTGCTGCCGTGCAGCCATGGGTTTATAGAGAGGAAGGAGGCATCAGCAGCACGCAGATCCTCAGCTCCTGCAGTTCTCGGTGCTTACAGCTACAGGGATCTGGCTGGCTGGAAAAGGCTCTCCTCAGCGGATGCCATTCAGAGGCTTCCCACACGTGTGAGCTGGCGTCAGGCTGAGATCACTGTATAGTCATTGTCACGGCCTGTTCCAAAAATACTCGATTATTTCCCTGCAAGAGGCTGAAATCCTGCTTTTCTGCCGTTAGGGGCCGGTCTTTCCAAGCCCAAGAATAACTCTGGCCAGAGCAGCAACCAGTCCCCAGAGCAGGAGCCCTCCATCATTTTCAAGCTAGGGATCCCCCTGCAAAGCCCCTGGCAGAGGTCTGGGCACTTTCAATACGTGTGTCAGTGGCGAGCAGTATGTGAGCTAGTTGTTTCTGGACAGTTTCTCAGAGACTTTCTCAGACAATTTGGGGGGAATAGCCCACACTGGGAGTTGAAAACAGTTGTGGAAGGCAAAGCAGCTCTTGCACTGGCCAAGTTAGGAGCGGTGTCCAGGATACTTCTTCCAAAATCTAAGTGCCTCTTCCCTGATCGTGCTGAAACCCCATGGCAGAACAGAGCCTGTTTCTGTGTCTGTGACTTGTTCTTTCTGTGTGCTGGATTGCATTTTTTTTTCTCTCTCTGCTTACAGCTCTCTTCTGTTTCCATGTGCTTTGTGTCAGCTGGCCCTAGCACGTTCCTTCTTCCCCACACACATGTGAGGAGCAGCACTGTGCTCTGTCTCCCTACTCTTCAGCATGGCAGCTCTAGTCCAGGTTGTTCCCTGAGACCTTTTGCAGCAAAAATATTGGGAAGTCTTAAACTTGAAACAGGTACGGAAAACTGCTGGCTTGCTCTGTGCTGGACTGCTGGAAGTGAGGCAGGGACCAGCTCTCCAGCAGATCCCAGAACTTAATCTCTCAGTGCTACATGCCTGGGGTGCCCGAGAGAAGCTTTAAGAGAGGCTGAGGACAAGAAGAAAAGAAACTGTTCAGAGGAACTCTTTGTCACGATTTTGTTCTTGTTGCAGTTATGGGAAAGGGGTCTGCCCCTTGCATTGTATTGGCATGAAAGGGCTTCACTTGCTGAGTGCGGTAGCTTGGGTTTATATTGCTGGAAAGGAGCTGGAAATGCTCCCTTGTGAGTCCCAGCCCTTTGTCACTTTGGAGTCATAACAGTCCAGACAAAGAGACAGAAACATTTTCATGTCCCTAACGGGAAGTTACTGTGTTCTTGTGATGCTTTTGCTGCCTGCAGAGAAAAGAAAAAGGAAGCTGAAAGTCTCTAGAGCTGTTTTCTGTTGAACTGAGTTAGTGAAATGCTGAGTGTGACCTGGGACTTCAGGTCAAATTCCCTCCCTCCATCCCTTCCTCTTCTATTTCTCTTTCTCTCTTTTTTTTTTTTTTCTGCCCCTCTAGCTACATTTGCTCTTTTGGGCAAAACCAAATCCTGGTGTCCCTGGGAGGGAAGGGACAGAGGAAAGGCCGTCTGTGCTTGGTGGCTCTCAGAAGTGGCTGTGCTCATGGTGGTGCAGGTAGATGCTCAGGGAACTTGGGCGCATAGGTCCCAGGAAAAGGAGATCTTCTCTCTGCTGAAGCACCCTGCAAATCACTCAGTCACCCCCTTTCTGTGCTCCTGAGCCCTTTCTTCATGATGGCTCATGGGGAACATGGGAGGGCTTGAGAAGATTGAATCTGAAAGCTGAGTTACTTCGACCTTTACATGTGTTGTGGAGAAGGGGAGATATGAGTGACTTCTAGTTTCAAACGTGCCCAATTTCCCCTTTCAGGAAAGCAGTGGAGTACATTCTGTAATGCTTCACGCAACCAAGGGGAACAGTGATGTCCTTAGGGCTCCCTTGTGTCCTAGGGCTTA